GCTCTTGTGACAAATGAATATCTAGAATGCAATTCAAGAATTAGTTAATGTCTCTTTTTTCCTTCTTACATAAATATAGCAGAGACTAACAAAAGTCACAATTCCTATAGAGTAATTGCTAATAGTTCACAAGAAATATTATAGAATGTTGAGGGGCAAGCCATAAGTTAAACAAGAATGAGAAGCAAGTAAACAAATAGACTATTCAATAATAAAATTTGAGAAACCCCTAAATATATTTTCTAGTAAAGGTCTAATATAATAGTTAAAAAAAAAAGATAAATGAACATGATTCTCAAATTCCAATAAGTGAAGCATCAATGCTCTGAGCCTCTTTGTCCCTAATGAACAAAAGAAAAAATGTGCTTTGATCATAAAATAAAAGAAAGATAAGCCTCAACATATGACTAAAGCATCACAAATGGCAATTTATAAGAAAGCTTTTGCAGGTGAAATATCCATGTAGCATGAACCATGAAACAATTTGCTAACAAGCTAATCATCATGATGATTGTCGTGATGTTATAATAAGCATTTCATGACTTAAATATTTCTACTGGAATTATCATGAAAATTTAAACTTTTTACCATATGTGATATTAGGAATTGCAAACAATAATCACAACAGCTGTTGCTAACTTAATCTCATTAAATAAACTGGGAATTGGCATGAAGAAATACTGATTCAGATGTTAGTTTTATGCTTGCAAGGCGCATAATTCAAACCACAAGGTGTGGATGCTGAAACTTGTGATAAATGATAGCAACACCATAATTAAAAATACTGAAACAGTAGCCATGTCATTAGTTGGTGAGCATTTGTATGAAACTTAACGAGCTTCTCTAACAATCTCATGAAGATTGCTACTAGTCTTCTACAAACCAACAGCTGATTCAGTAAAAGATAAATCCCAGAGACTAAAATAATCACAAATTAGAACCTTTAGACTCGACTAAGATCCTTTTATCCAAATGGACCAGAACTACACTATCACTATAATCAAGCATTTGTTAACTGTTGATATAGTAAGCTAACTTCCACAATTTAGAACTTGTCAGGCCCTATCTTGAGTCCAGCAGAAGACAATCTATTCATAGAAAGTCATGTACCTCTGTTCATATCACAGAAAAAAACCATAATAGACAATCATATTGCCTCATTTTCATCAAACTCATAGAATTATTTGCTTGATATCTCTTTACTATTATATTATTCAATTTGGTTTACTATTCTCATAGGTCTAATGACTGTTTTTTAAAATAAAAATTATGACACATCATACTAAAATTAGAATATTTTAAGCTTGGATTTCACTCTTGAATTTATCTTTTATGGAGATTATTTACTATATACTAACTTATTGAAACCATTTCAGATTATAAATTATATAATTTATAATCAGTTTTTTCAACAGCATTTGAGTGGTTGATGAGGACAGCTCTTTTGATTGTCAAACACAATTATAGTTGCATAATTGTCATGCTTCTCTCCCTATATAATCAATCAAATGTCCTCCAATTATAGATTTTGAATAAAAGATTCTCCTTAGATTTGGTAAGTTTTTTAGGAGTTCTAATTATATTCAATTTAGTTGAAAAAAATTTCTAGTTAAATTAAAATTTCTAGGTGAATTAGGATTTATTCTAATAAATCTCAAGATTTTGATGAGAGAAAAAAGTAAGACATTTAAGTGCTCTCGGAGATCTTGAGTTAAAGTGAAAAGTACTTTAGATTTATATAAGAAGATGTTAAAAGAAAATCATGCGAGGGAGAATAACTCAAAAAACCTCATAGTTAATCTTATATAATGAAGAATTCAATTTTTTTCTATAAATATAGGTAGAAATTTATCAAACCAAGTTAATCTTATGTTGATTTTCTGAAACACTATTTATTTGTCAATCTGCATATTTTGATTCATTTGTCTACTATTATTTTTATATTGATAATCAAATGTTTTCAATAATTTGTGCCAAGTTATTGTTCATTGAAATTTTTTTTAGAGTAGTTTGACTAGAGAATTTTCACAAACACACATGTTTTGGTGGTTTCGAGGTATAAAATTATATATATATTACTATTTATATTTTTATATACCCATGATATATCATCTGTATATTGTGCCTGATTTACATATATGATATTACAAGGATCCTATCATTTATAATGTCCTAGTTGTTTTAATTAGCAACAACAACAATCATAATGAAGACATTGATTCATATTTTTATTCTGTCGCATTTTACTAACGATGATTGTTTGATAAGTTATGTTTCTAATATTAATATCAATTTGAGTTCATTATAACAATCAATTGATGAAGACTAACAATGTCGGCATATAATATCTATAAGTTTTTTTTTTAGCTTTGCATGAATACATTAAATTGGCATAGGATATTAGCAGTAGATAAGAACAAATAGAATGAGACAACCAAAACATGAAGTTGTCTGCATCTATCAAATTGCTTAGTTTAACTACAAACCATTTTAATAGATGGAAGGCCGCAGAACTCAAACAAGGGAAAAAGAAGAATGCAGTAAATGAAACCTGAAACTGGCCACGATTTATTGACTCGATGTGGGGCTGTGGCTGACTCGACCTGCGTCAACCTGTCAAATAATCTCATCTATGAAATATTCTCTTAAGTCAAGAAAGAAAGAAATAGAATATCATAGAATCACTTTTCTGATAGGAAAAAAAAAGTAAAGTTGGTAGTAAAAGTCTATGACAGTTATCATTTCTATATGAAAGCATACAAAAGCACTCATCACTATGTTTACTTCACCGCCATAGTAGCCACGAACTGTGCCCAAAAGCAATTCCTACCAACAAATCTATGTGGTCACTGAACAAGTTTTGCACACCAACAGTCATTACAAGCATTACTATTTATTCGCTCATCTAGTTCCTGGTTTTCATCTTCACACTACTCTCGGAAAACATAGCTTCCACACTTGACCTTTTATGAGGTGAATGCTTACGAAAGTTCACTTACAAAAATGCAGGCAACTTGGGTATACAACCAAGGTGACCGCAGAGAGCATGTGCGATGCTACTGCTTGTCAAAGAGAATTATAGGAGGATAGAAATTGCAATGGCATGGCAAGGCGAAATCAGATATCAATCAGCACTGACCAAGAAAGGGTGTTGACAGACACCACATTCGATTGTTTGGGAGCCTGAGGCAGGAACTTGCACCTGAAACTCAAGGCAAATATCGTTGAATTCAGTCCTAACAACACATCAGCAAAATTCCAGTTTGGAAAATAGATGAAGAGATAAGGAGAAAGCTTATCATGTTGCAGAAAAAAAAAAAATTCTGATATTATAGACCTGAAGGTGGACTGTGCAGATGGGACATGCTACTTCCCTCATTGGCTTCCAAGACTCATCAGAATTTGAACCTATGAAATAGGTACTACCATAAATTAGTCAATAGTAGTACATGTTATATCAGAAAACATAGTATAATGTTCTACAATATAGCAGTAAAGTACCCGACTTACGATTCTTGTTCAATTCCTCCTGTTGCAAAAATCAAGACCAAAACCTTAATTATTCATCATAATATCTGAGTTAAAGAAGTTAGATGCAAGAACTAATAAAGCTGGCTAACTGGATCATTTTCCAACAGTGAGAAAAATATGCCCTCCATATAAAGTACCACAGCGAGACATCTGTCTAAACATGATGGTCTATAGCAATAAAAAAGACTGCACCTGAAGCCTTCGCACAAGATCTTCATGACTTTGCAGACCGGCAGGTTTGCTGACAGCTTTTTTTGCATTGCTTAACCTTTGAGAAACTTTTGCCTATTCAACGTGAGAGACTCCCATGTAACATCAAGCAAATCACTTCTCAAGTCGTGTTTTTCAGTTAATGCTCAGAATATCTAACATTCATACTAACAACCATGCAATTTTAAGTTTCAGTACTTAAATTAGCAGATCAAGCATGTTAGGGCTGTTTTATTTCCACAGTTTCTACACTCTATGTGAAGAAAAACGAAAATTTCCAGCTTTATACAAAATTAAATTTCACATGACTGTGAGATTTACATAGTTCACAAAAGTTAATTCAGTAATTTTCACTATCACAGAAAATTAGTTCAGCAACCACAAAGTACATAATCTGGCCCCATTGACAACACCTTTCTCTAGTGAAAGTTAATCAAAATTGGTGACCACATGTCAGCATTTGGTGACAAGTCAACACTAAGTTAACACATGCAAAGCAACTTGCCAATTCTAATGCTTACATGTAATATGAACGCAGAGGGCCGGAACACAAGACAAGACAGTGAATTTCTCGAGGACAAACTAGTTCAAATTTTTTGTAAAACATCCATGAACAAAGAAAAGAATGTTCAAGTAAGACAATTCAAGCTATAATGTAAGTATACCACCACTGGCTAATAATAGCCATAATGTAAGAACTAGTTCAAATCTTTTGTAGAACATCCATAAACAAAGAATAGAATATTGATCAACTAAGACAATTTACGCCATAATGTAAGCGGGACTACCGCTGGCTGATAACAGTGTTTTATCAACCTAAGGTGCAAAATCTAGCTAATGGACTTGCAGCAAATCCTCTGGATGGAAATTCAATAAAGATGTAAAATGAAAAGTAATTCACTCAATTGGCTAAACAAATCATATTTTCTTTAAAAAACACTTTCTTCACCCTTATGATTAATGATAATACTAAAATATATGAGTCTATCACTGCAGATTGTTTCAAGGAGGATTCTTATAAAAACACAAATCTCTTTAAAAGACAG